TACATTGGTCCAAGACCTTCTGGCTTTGATTTTATTTTAAATTTTTGATTGAGCTATTGGACTTTTCATACAACAGTTCATAATCAAATTTAGACCCCATCCAAAGTCCCACACATCCTCCCCCCAACCATGCTGCATCTCATGTATTCTGCCATGCATGTTAAGTCTTATCCTTTCAAGCATTTGTACCTAGATGTCCTTCAGTGCGAGTTCATCCACTGGAGTCTAGTCAGCCCATCTAGAGATTGTTGGTAATGTCTACTCTCCCTTTCCCATTAGTAATCGGTCTCCAATAGTTCCCAGGCTAGGACTGGTCTGCTGTTCATTTCCCTTGCTCCACAGCATGGGTCTTGTGCAGGACACCACCATTGCTGCAAGTTCACTTGTACAGGTTCCAGTGGCCTGAAAGCCTCTGTTTCCCTATGTTCACGGACCAACCCTGGCTCTTACATTCTTTCTGCCCACTTTTCTGCTATGCTCCCTGAGCTGTGTGTGGGTGAGGTCTAATATAGGAGTCCTATCCAGGGACACACACTCTGCAGTCTCTTATTCTCCAAAACTTAGCCAGTTGTAGCCTTCTGTGTGCATTTTACTATGTTGTATAAGGAAGTGTCTCTGGTGAGAGTTGAAGGGTGCACTAGTATTCTCTCTACCCCTTGTTCTACTATGTTCTATCAGCCTTAGGTGTTGAGGTTCCACTGTAGATATGGCACCTAGAACTGGGCATCCCTCACATGTATATTCTCTGTGTATGACCAGTCTCTACCTGCTACACATCCAACAGAGAATTAATATCCAGAATATACAAAGAACTCAAAAAATGAAGAAACAAGAGAATAAATAACCCAAGAAAAATATGGGCTATGGACCTGAACAGAGTGTTCTCAATGAAGGAATAAAAATGGCTAAGAAACAACTTTAAAAGTGCTCAACATCCTTAGTAATTAGAGAAATGCAACTTAAAAACCTCTTTAAGATTCCATCTTATCCCAGTCAGACCGGCTAACATCAAGAGAAAAGAAGACACCAAATGTTGGCAAGAATATATTGAAAGGACTGTTCATTCACTGCTTGTGGGAATGCAAACTCATGAAACCACTATGGAAAGAAGTGTAGAGAACCCTCAAAAAGCTAAAAATGAATCCACCATATGATCTGGTTATACCACTACTTACCACTCCTTGGCTTATACCCAAATGACTCATCCTATTGCAGAGATATCTGCACATCCATGTTTGTTATTGCTCTTTTCACAATAGCTAAGAAATGGAAAAAACCTAAATTCTCCTCAACTGACAAGTGGATAATGAAAATGTGGTACATTTACACAATGGAGTTCTACTCATCAGTAAGAAAAGATGAAATTATGAAATTTTCAGGTAAATAGAGGGACTAGAGAAGTGAAGTAACAAACTCAGAAAAGCAAGTGACGTTTGTTTTCCTTCATTTGCTGATCATAGCACCAATCCTTAATATGTGAATATATGTATACTGATGTAACAGCAGGAGCCAGGAAAACGGAAAGGAAACACAGAGGTAAAGGGAAAGAGGGGGAGAGTAGGGAACAGATGTTTCAGGCGTGGTGGTGGGAGTGTTCTGGGAGGGGAAGAGGGAGGAGCATGAAGGGATCATGGTGGTAGTGGAGTAGGAAACTCAGGAGAAGGGGAATGGTGGGGATAATGGGGGTGCTTGGACTGGGGAGGGAGGAGGGAGGTTGGATGGGGATGGAGAGAAAAGACGAATGGAACTTTGGGGACTAGGGAAGCCAGAGGGAAACATGTTGGCTTGGGAACCCCCTGAGAAATGCATATACGGTGTCTGAACATTAGTGCACGTGTATACCTGGGGGATTGTATGGCAAGGAGCAGAGTGCCAGACAGTAGAGAACTCCTTCCAGTGGTTGGTCAGAGTGGTCCAAGAAACTCCCAGAATGACATGAGCTATTGTCGGAGCTCTTGGTTATCTCCCAGAATTCAAAGATAAGAACCTACTTTTGAAGACAGGACATTCTTCAGACACAGGACATGGAGAAACAGAGCAGGAACTGACTGAGAAGACTTCTACCTGAAGTCTAGCTCTCGTAGTTCTAGAGGATACTATGTAAGCTGCAAAGGGAGAAAAATCAATCAATGGTTCAACCCAGCTCTAAAGCCTAATAACCATAATGACCGGCACAGAGAACTACCTCTACTGGTGTAGTAGTGGCACTTTTATGGGGGGCGGAATGTTAATCCACAGCTATCTAACTGGCCTTAAAGCCTTCTCAATAGGAGTGAACTCATGGGTGGCACTGTAAACACAGCCAAATACACATGGTTGGAGAGGTCATCGTTGATCCTAGAAAAAATCCTATCTGTGTCATATCTCTAGACAAATGAAATTTCTTGCTATATAAATCCTTATATTTACAGACAAGTGTACCATACACCACGCATCAAAGAAACTTCATTTTGCAACAAATGGAGGCTACTGCACAGCTTTTATTTTTTAAATATTTTATTATTTTTATTTTATGTGTATGAATGCTTTGCCTGCATGTAAGTGCTCCTGTGTCATGCAATTCCAGCAGAGGTCAGAAGAGGGCATTATATCCCTTGGTACTAGATTTACAGATGGTTGTTAGCCACCATGTAGGTGCTAGGAACCAGTGATCTTAACCTCTGAGCCATCTCTCATGGCTTTTAAAGTCTCCATTTGAAAACTCAGAATTTTTCTGATAGGCCTGCCTTTGTAGAGACGGTCTTTCTCTCTTGCAGCTCCCAATATCCTTTTGTTGCTCTGTACATTTAGTGTTTTCTTACCTGATGTAAGGAATTTCTCTTCTGGTCCTGTCTATTTCTGATTCTGTATACTTCTTGCACCTGGAAAAGCATCTTTTTTCTTCCCAATATCCTTTTGTTGCTCTGTACATTTAGTGTTTTCTTACCTGATGTAAGGAATTTCTATTCTGGTCCTATTTCTGATTCTGTATACTTCTTGCACCTGGAAAAGCATCTTTTTTCTTAAGATTTGGGGAACTTTCTTCTGTGATTTTGTAGAAAATATATTCTGTGCATTTGATTTCAATTTCTTCTTCTATATTTATAATTCATAGGTTTGGTCTTTTTATAGTGTTTCAGAGCTCCTGCATGTTCTCTGTTCATAGTTTTATTTTCTTTTTCCTTTTTTAATATCTATCATTTTTCAGATTTGGGGAGATGGTTCAGCAGTTAAGAGCACAGGCTACTCTTGCAGAGGACCAGAGTTTGATTCCCAGCACCCACATGGTGGCTAACTGTCTGTAACTCCAGTTCCTGGGGATCTGGTGCCCTCTTCCACCTCTGCTGGCACTGCATGACACCAGTGCACTTACATACATGCAGGCAATACACTCATATACTCAAAAGAAACCAAAATAATAAATAAAGTATTTTTTAAAAAGATTTATCATTTTCTTTGACTGAGTGATCTAATTAATTTATCTTGTCTTCAAGTCCTGATATGACATGGTCACACTATGTAGCCCTGGCTGCCCTAGTACTATGTAGATCAACATGGCCTTGAACTCACAGAAATCCACCTGCCTCTGCTGCCCAAGTGCTGGGATTAAAGGGCCACCAAACCCAGCCCAAGCCCTGATAATCTCCCTTCCAGTTCATTCATCCTATTTGTGGGGTTTTCCCCCGAGCTTTTCAATAGACTCGCTGAATTTTTCATTTCAAGTTTTATTTCAGTTTGGGTTTTCTTCACAATTTCTCTATTGAATTTTATTTTCATATCCTGATTTGTCTTCCTTATTCCATTCAACTGTTTGTGGTGTCTAGGTCTTTATTTCGGCATGTATTCATATCCTCTTTGAGGTCCTTGAACATATTTATAATTGCTTTGAATTCACTATGTGTCATCTAAATTCCTTTCCTCAGGGAACATTATATGGAATACTCATTTTTTTTGAAGAGACATATTATCTTGATTTTCCATGTTGTTTGTGTTTTCGCAGTAAGACTGGGCATTTGAAGTAGTGCTGATCATTGCTTGTGTGTTTTAGTATTGTTGGCTATTCATTCCAATTTTGTTGGCTAGGCATTTGGATCTCTATATGTTGTTACCCTAACCTACATATTCTGCATAAGCTGGGAAGTGCTTGAAGCTCAGTCTTGAGGACACTCGGTGTTAATGTGTGAATGGGGTATCAGAAGTAGTCTTGCTCAGCTAAGCCTAGGTGTGGATTCTGACCACCAGAGCAAACCCTCCATAAAGCTAGCAGATTCTTGATGTGAAGCACATGAACAACTAACTGTGTATGCAGTCCTTACATGTCTGTAGTTGGGGTCTCAGAGTGAGATGGGGTGAGGTAAGAGGTGTTACCCATAGAGGTGAGGGGTGCTACCTTTGAAAAACGTGCACTGCTGTATGCACTGTCCTCAGGTGGTGGTGGCTTGGGGTCACAGAGTTGCCCACCTTCTAGCTTTTTACATCATTTTGGGGAGCTAAGGGCAGTTCTGTGGGCAATTTTAGGGTGTTTATCATAATATCTTTAATGAAATTCTTCTGGTCAACCACTGCCTCGTGTCCTATCCATTTCCACTCTCTTATTTTTTTCCAGATAGTACACTCTTTGTCTTTTTAATCTTCATCAAATCCTCACTTTTCTGAATCAAACAAAGGCTCTCTTTCTCATCTCTAGACTCTTTTCTAAAATACTTCCTCAATGATACTGACTTATAGTGGGCCTTCTCTTCAGTTTACCAGCATATAATAGCATGTAAAGCTACAACTTCATTATTAACCAGTGTTTGATTTCCCTAAACTTTTCTGATTAATTAACATCCCAGTTTATTGAAATCTTAATGCCTCTGAAAGAAGAGACTTTTAAGCAGGATTTTCGGTCTGCATGGGATGTCCAAAAATCGATCTGCATGAAAATATGCAGAAAAACATTTTGTATTAATATTACTTCTATTGAAAAATTAATTATACTATAAACCAATGTATTGAAAGAGCTTTAAAATGTCATTTACCTTGAATTTATGAAGAAACCACCACCAAAAGGTGTCATGCAAAAGAGCAATGGAGGCATTGGAGAGAAAATGAGTTCTCCAGATTTTAAGCACCCTTTCCTATGGGTATCAAGTTAAAATATATTACTAAATATATTCCTATAAATACATATTTATGTATAAAGCATATCATTTATAAAGGGTGTGGAATTGTCACAGGACAGAATACTCAAACAGATATTTAGCATAAAACACATATACATAATATTAACTGGTGTAGTAGCTACATTTAAAAAATCAAAAGTGAAATTAATCTTAATAACATTTTAAACAAACATTTAAAATATTTCATGTCAACATATAATTGATGAATTATTAATGAAATATTTTGCATCTTTCATTCTAAATCTTGGAAAGATATGGTACATAGTACATAAGTATCTTTGATTTGAACATTGAATTTTCATCAGAAATATTATGTATATGTG